CATGTACTTGTTAATTGATTGTATGTCCTTCTCTGAGAAGTGTCTGTTCAGGTCCTTGGCCCATTTGTTGATTGGGTTATTTGTTTTCTTATTATTTAATTTTTTGAGTTCTTTGTATACTCTGGATATTAGGGCTCTATCTGAAGTGTGAGGAGTAAAGATTTGTTTGTAATAATTTGTACTTATTTTTTAAAAAATTTTTTTTAGTTGTAGGTGGACACAATACCTTTACTTTGTTTTATGTGGTGCTGGGGATTGAACTCAAATTCACATTTTCTTGTTTACGTATCACTTATTTCACCCTAAATTACCAGTTGAGCATGTCTGCCTGTCCCCAAATACATACATGACAAATGTAATAAGCGCCTAACTTGCTGATAAAACATTCCAGAGCAGAATGAATATTAAATACTACAAAGAATAGAATGGACATCCTTGAAAAATAAGAGTTATCACTGGAGAAGATCCACTCATCAAAGAGTAAGAACTTAGATAAAATCATAACTCTATTTTAAAAACAAGATCTTAAGATTAAAAAAATATATATATATACCATAGCACACATGCAGCAAGTACTGTGAACAGCTATTTAAATTTTTCTTTTGTGTATCTGGATTTCTTAAATTTCTATAACATACATTGATATTTGGATAAGAAAAAGCCATAACAAGAAAGACAAGTCCAACAGATCATCATTCAGTTAAAAATGAAACAATGACTTTTCTTTTTAGCAAGTACCTTTTCTTGAAAAACAACAGCAGTTTCCAGCCCTGGCATGATGTCCAGTAGCAGTCTGCAAGCTGCCGTGTTTAATGGGGGCTCTCGGCTTGTCATCACATATGCATTCACCAGCTATAAAGAAAAAAAAAGAATATTTCAACCCAAATATTTCAACCCAAATTATGGAAAATTATTGAAAATTCTGAATATATTCCTATCACTTTTCTTAAAAGACATAAAAGAATACCATACCAACAACTGTTAAATTTTTAATTATTATAAGTTAGTTATGACCAGGCAGAGTGGTGCATGCCTGTAATCTCAGCAATGACTTAGGATAACAAGTTCGAGGCCTGTTTCAGCTACTTAGGGAGATCGTGTCTCAAAAATAAAGAATACTCCATGTATGTATGATATGTCAAAATACATTCTACTGCCAGGTATAACTAAAAAGAATAAATAAAAAATTTTTAAAAAATAAAGAATAGTCAGGCTTTGTGGCACATGCCTATAATCCCAGCAGCTTGGGAGGCTAGGGCAGAATGAGCACAAGTTCAAAGTAACTTAGCCAGGCCCTAAGCAACTTAGCCAGTCCTCAAGCAACTTAGCAAGACCCTGTGTCAAAATAAAACATAAAAAGGGCCAGGAATGTGACTCGGTGGTCAAGCGCCCTGGGTTCAATCATTGGTACCAAAAAATTAAAATTAAAAAAAAAATTTAAAAGGCTGGGTATATAGCTCAGTGGTAACATACTCCTTGGGGTTCAATCCCAAACAAAAAAATATTGAAGTTATGATTTTCTTTTTAGCCAAGATTGTATAGTTTCTTCTACAGCTGAAAAAGTCAAATTATACTCACCCCCACACACACACAAAAACAACTCAGCAACCACGGAAATTAAGGCTCAAAAGATATTGGAAAAAAAACACCTCCTCACACTTACATATACTTCTCCCACCCCTGTATTAGGGACTAGACCCAGGGGCACTACCAATAAGCTACAAATCCATAGCCCATTTTATTTCTGAGACAGGGTCTAAGTTGCTCAGGCTGGCCTTGAACTTGTTGGCCTCCT